TGCTGACAGCCAGGAGGAAGGATGCCAAGTGTAAGTCAAACTCTTAAAGCCTCATCAGCTTGTACAGTCTGATAGAATCCTTAACTTAGAATATATTAAAATTGCAGGTTGCATAGGCAGATACCACCAACATGATTTTTGCTACTGCAAGAAATTCAAACACGTTCATATGAACATTGTTAAAGTAACATAGCCCTTCATTCTACCTGTCTGAAGTTTCCTAACAGATTTTCTAGTTATTGATTAATCAATTGTCCCCTTGATTAATCATTTAGAGCATCTTTAAAAACTTTTTAACAGTCCAGAGCCTGGATGAATCCAGTTAACTGTCACATGACAAAAAAGCAGCAAATACTCTGATTGGTAGAGTGTCTTAATCAGTGTACAGCAGGTTAGTATAACATGCAAAAGTGTGATATGTGTTTATAGGAGAGAAAACTGGACAAAGTATGTAGGGAATCTGGGTTTTAATGGAGTTTTCCCTCTCAGGGCAAATCCAGTTTTTCCTGTAACTAGTACAACATTTCATAAGGCTTTGAGAAAACTGTGAACTCAGTTGAATATGACCACAGCCTTGTTTGTTTCTTCCAGCTGTAAAGATCAAGAAGAACAAGGACAATGTGAAATTCAAGGTGCGCTGCAGCAGGTATCTGTACACCCTGGTCATCACAGACAAGGAGAAGGCTGAGAAGCTCAAGCAGTCACTGCCCCCAGGTCAGTTTTAACTAAATCTCTGTGGTGAGCTAAAACACAGATGAGACACTGTCATCTGGTTTCATGTTGTCAGATGTCCTTATTGGTTCAAAAAAGGACATATTGAAGGGTATCTGCACTGACTTGAATTAAAGTGTGGTATCTTTCTTGGATCTAATTAAGGATGCCCTGTGGACTTTTGGATCCTTAGTGGCATAGAGCCTTTTTCTGACAGGGTCCCTGTGTGTTGGTTTACCAGTGTGCGTGTAAGGATGCACACAAATGCTACGACCACTGGAATTGCACGATACATTTCTGTTCACCACTGAGGCTGGTTTTAGTTGTAGCAATGAGTTATAAAAGAAGCTGCTATGGTAATAATAAAAGAACTCAAACTTGGATTTTAATAGTTTTTTTTTCTTCAAGGAAAATTAAGTTTTTTCCTGTAACTAGTGTCATATTTCATATGTCTATCAGGAAACTGTAAACCACATTTAAAAAGGCAGGTTTCAGAGCATACATAAAACGCATTTCAGATGTTTTATGATGTAGGAAAGTGCACTTCGCATGTTTAGGTGGCCTTAATATATTTAGAGAATCTTGGTTACAAGGTATAAGCTGTTTACAATAAAAAGTAAACTGGGTTTTGTCTTAAACAGAGTTTACAGGGAGTCTAAGGTCCTGAAGGAAAAATGACAGTGCCACTTCACACACAGTTATACTGCCCTCAAGCCCTTTTCAGACAGACACCCTGAAATTATCTCGACATGTCCTGGGGGAGCTGTATGTGAGAACAGATGTCCGAGTCAGATGGCACAGACACTGAGTGGACGGTACCCTGCCAGCTCCCCAGCACAGTCTGTAAAGTCCGAGTGAGCCCATGTGAGAAAACAGCGTCTTATAGTCCAGAATATTCACAGCAGTGTAGTGGGTGTGTTAATGGTGTCCTATCACGTGACTGGTGTAAAACAATCATTTACAATGAAGATGCCAATTAAAATGTCTAACTGGAGACACAAGGTTCGGGAATTTTCCGTCGTTAAGAGCAGGCACCAGAATCACCAGACAAAGAGACTCTGTTTGTTTCTGACCAAATTAGAAACTGGCTAGTTGACCTTGTCATGTCCCACCTTTTGTGCGCTCTAATGAAGATTGCCATCTGTCATCTTTTACATTATATTACAAAAGAACAAATCCTGAACTTTTGTTTTGCTTTTGGCTTTTTAAACCCCAAATTACTCTCTGATCGGCAAAGGCATAGTTTTAGTGGCAACGCCAACAAGCAGCTGCTGCACACACCAATGGTAAATGATGTGAAGAGTGTGCAGTGTGCACTTTGTTGCAGTGTTTGCAGTCACACAGAGGTAGCATCACAGTCTGTAGTCTATCATTTGAATATTAATGCTGTCATACCTACTTAATGGATTTTTAAGGGGGGTGTGGGGGGGTTTGTTAAATGGATCAGAAGTGGTTTTCATTCTGTTACTTTAAATGAGCTTGTGGAAAAGTTGATTCCCTGGTTTTAACTACGGTTGTTAAAATGATCAAACTGTGTGTAACTGCTTCAAACTTTTTTTTATTTCCAGTGTGAGTACAGTAGTAGTCCAGCAACAAACACCAGTGGGCAAAAATAAAACTTTGTGTGCCCTCTGTCTTCACTGAACATCCTCCAGGCTGATGCAAATATAACTAGTCTCCTTCACTGCAGTGGTTAGGTTGTATTATGTGCAAAATAGTGTTTTTAGTGATTCTCAAGCATGTTTGGTCTGTTAGTCACCACTGAAGCCTTGGCTCTTCAGTTCCAGTGAATATTTTCTTACATGTTGTCTTTTGTCTTTACAGGTTTGGCTGTGAAGGAGCTGAAGTAAATCCGTGATGTACAAATAATTGTAATAAAAATTGGAAAACTGAGTTTGTCCATGGTTTTGTGTCTGCTGTACTCATGCCACGATGCGACATACTGGATCGAACATTAGTGCCATAGTACATACATATGTATGTACTTTAATTAAACCCAGTGGTGGGTTAGTCTAAGAGTAGCTTTTATAAATTAGATACAGTACTTGTGTTTATGAATGTTTGTAGTAAACTAGATGGAAGATATTTAAGTACAGCATGTGTAAAATATTCTACAGAGACATCTGTATATAAGAACAAAAGCTAGTCTGAATAATTGGCAGCAGGTGCACCCTATATTACTGTGTGGAAAACTGCTTGCATAAAACATTTTTCTAGTCTAAAGGCTGCATCAAGCAAACATGCAGTAAAAATAGTTTAGTTTATATTCCCAAGTGTGAATGCTTACAATTAATTCTGGTGAGGACAAAGATTAACTGGAGTGATATCCAATATTATGTGGTTTGATATCATTTGTGGGTTCTAAGTTTCAAATGTGGCTTTCCTGGCAGACAGGAGGCTTCTCAGTGAAAGCTCCTGGCTTAATAAATGTTCTGTAGCACTGTTCAACTAAGTGTAGCTCCTTGTGCTTTATACCAAATGGATTTTAACTTGTAAATATAACTTCAAGTAGTAATGTGTGAATAATGTGATTATATAAAAGGCTTAAATAACTAGATATAAATGTAAATACAGCTCTATTTTCGCTCCTGCCGCAGATGAAAGTTCGTAATTGTCTTAGTTGGCCACTAGGTGGCAGTACAGTAGCTGAGTCCGCAGAGGCACTGATAGAGCGACCCTTGAATAAAAATATATGAAGATGAAGCTATTACCACACGGTGAATATTAAACTGTGGTGCTTCAGACGGGTTGACAGTGTTGATACTTTCAAACTTATAAAGGGTGTCTGCGCGCTCACACATCTCATGTCAAGCGCCTACTATCGGCGCGCGTTCCCGCGGTGTGCGCTTGGAGCAGCTGTTAGTCGGATAGTAACTGTGGGTCCTCACATACTGGAAGAGACGCGTGCGTGGTGATTATTACCTTCCTTCGTGAATAAGACCTTGGGAAACATTCCAGTCTGTGCGGGACTTTGTGGACGTTCGGTCTCGTGTGGCTGAGAGCGCGGCCGTAAACGAGCACGCTTTTATCACTGCCTTTGTTTGTTATGAGTCTGGATTAGGATCTCAGGCAGCGGACTGAAGTGCCCGCGTTAATAAAGGGGCTGAATTAGGCTGCAGCCTAACTTTTTTCTCGGGGCAGGGATGTCTTCAGCTGGGGTGGATTATAATGCGCCCTGGTGGACTTACTGGCTTCACAGTTTTCCTCATATCAACCTGAGGTTTCAGCCCATTGACCACAACTTCCAGCCTGAGGAGGAGAACTACCAGCAGGTCAGTACATGGACTGTTATGTGCAGCCCAGTTATCAAGCACACGGTGCAAATAAAACTGGGACACAGTATGCCTATAGGGCTGTGCAACGTGTGCTTCTCTGTTATGAATTTATATTCTTCCTTTAATTAATTAGGCATCAGTGGTAGGGTGTCTGTCGTTATGATTTCTGTTTTAACATTGCACCCTGCATTATAGAAGTGGCCCCTGGTGTTTCCAGATGCTGACGTGAGAAGGGTCAGTCAGGTTTAGGAGCCACATCAGATCCACAAACCAACATGAGTTGTTGGTGCGGTGTGTTTTTGGTGTAACTTTAGTGCCCTGTCCAAAGGCAGTGTAAAATGGCACTACAGTTTGTCGTATGCATTTTTTTTTTCAAGTAATATTAGAAATTGTATTTGCTCGTCGAGGCAGAACATCCACCTTGTAAATACTGCCTTCACTGAGGCTATAACAGTTTTCATTTATTTTGAAGTGGGACAAGTAAGTTGTATTTGAAGAGGCAGAGTGGATGAGGAAGCACACGCATCACCCTTGGGAGTCAGTGTACAGGCCTGTTTCACAGGCATCACAGTGGGCTGGGATCAATTTTTAGATGACTAATGACCTGCTTGTGAACACATTTTTCTGGGTTACAGCTGTGCCTCAGTCAGTGCATGTAGTTATGTCATTCTGAAAACAATGGACATTTAAATTCATTGCTCTATCATTTTAGTACAGTGTTGTCCAGAGTGAGGTCAGTGGACCTTCAGGGTCAGAAGGTGAATCCCACTTCCCCTAATTGCTTCCACGTTTCCCTTACTTGTGTCTTTCCCTTGCGTTTTAGTCCCGCCCATGTAAGATAAAGGGAAACGATGCAAGGGCAAACTTTGAGGAGAGAAGAAAGAGAGAACGCGTTTTAACTGACATGAGACTTCGTTTCCTCTGATCCTTATGTGAAGTTTCCAAAAACTGATTCCCAATAACAGGACCTGTCAATCCCCATTATAAATCTGCAAGGGATACACTCATGTATCCTTGGTTATAGCTCCTCCAGGCAGCCTGGCCTGGTGATGGGGATAGAGAGACTTCTTGTATTTAAAAATTATTATAAGAGCCCAAGGTTGTGCATTCTGCCCTTACAGTTGCAGAACTGTTGCTCATTTAATTTGGATATGCTTTGTCAGGAGGAAATTCCAAGACAATGCCTAGGGCTTAAGGGAATTGTTTTATACCACTGTAAAGCATTACACTGTGTAATGCCTTGATTGATCAATTACCTGCAGTGCAATTGATATTTAGCAGCATTTAAAAGTAAAGATAAAAAAAATTAGGCTTCATAATCAAGGAATGTAACCTTCACTCTTTTGTAAAGGAATCGGAATCAATGCTTTGTTGACCGCTGCCTTGGAGTGTATTGATCAGCTGAGCCATGCCTTTAACCCAGGCCACATGCCTTATTAGAGGATTTGCAGTTGGCTAGTTGTAATGTGGGCAGCTCTGGTGAATTCTTTTGCTGGCTTTGGGCCATCGAATGTGATGAATAGAAGGGGTTGTGAGCTTTCACTGTGCTTTGTGTCTGCATGGTTTTGTGTACGTGTAGACACAGTTGTTATCAGTAATGGAATTGCCATCAGCCAGATCATCTGGCCAGAGTTCTCTGGTTTTTGTCTTCTGACAATAAACAAGCTATTATTCTTGGTCTTACAGTACAGTCACATACAGTATTTTGGAAATGATTTTGATGCACATGCTCCTGAGACAATCTGCTGATCTTCTCGGCAGTGATTCAGTTCTCTTCAACCGGTTGTATGTGATTGTGAAATGTATTTTGAGACTTGGTGTTTCCCTGTGCTGAGGCCTGGGGGATGGAAGCATGGCAAAAACTGAAAAAGCTCATTCTAATTTAGGATGAGGACCTAGTTTTTCTTTTTGTGTGTATGAGATGGTGTGCACAGTTGTGTGTTTGTATGTAGGTCTTGAGCCAGACATCATGCCTAGCTCAGCAGGTCGTAGTCCATCTGACTTCCCTCCCCATTTCCTGCTTTATGACCCAAACTAGTTTATGCCTATAGTTTCTCTGTCCATCACATGCTGCTGGTCTTCAAAGTCAGACATCCAAGAGACTCTGATATGCTCCAAAGATCACAACATTTAATTGAATTGGTGGTAATTTCAGTTGCTGTCCTTTAGTCTTTAACAAACAGCTGGACGTTTGTGCTTCTGTTTGCCTTAACTGTTGTAAGTTTATTTTGTGTGGCAGGCTTTTGGCCTTGGAGCTGGCAGATAATGTTATTGATATTATCAGGGCCAGTTCCATTAAAAGGAAATGTGAAATTACGTTGTGGTTTTCTACAGTGATGAACTGAGCCACATTAGAACAATTATTTATCCTGAGGTTAACAAATCATGCTGTAGTTTTGGTCTCTACCACTGTGTTACAGAACCTTTTTTAAAGGAATAGTTCAAAATAGTTCAACATTTTTAGGTAATATGCAATATTTGCTGTCTAGACCAGATTTAGATGCGAAGATGCCACCGTTATGCCTGTACACACACTAAGAACACAACCTAGCCATGCATAAAACCTGGAAACCGTTCCAGCAGACTCCAGGAGGTCACTGTTCCAAAATAGTCCTGATCATAATCCCCCTTAAAAATGCATATTTACATTTTTTTCACTTTGATTTATATACAGATTCAACAATCAACCGGTAACACCATTTAGGCATATAGAAACTGAAGTTGATGTCACACTGTGTTTGAATTTGGGGTAAATGCACCGTTTGGAGCATTCTCTCCAGATATATACACTACAATGGGAGTTGTGAACAAGCCACAGATATGTTATTCAGTTACAAAAGTGAACACACACTCTTAACACGCACAGCCTTTCTGCTTCAGAGGCTTTTCTTACAGAGTCTCTGGGAACAATGTTCCACCTGACTGCATCCTGTCTTTGTTTTTCCTTTGTTTTTTGTGCTGCCTTTGTTTTCCCTGTGTGCATTTCTGTTTTTTTCTTTTCCACCTTTCATCCACATTTCCTTCACATCACCCCTTTTGTTCAGTTGTTTTTAATGTTAGACCTCCCTACATTCATTTTAATGGACATGCAGTTATGCCAAAGCCACCTTTGTGTGGAAGAATCTACAGTATGTGAAGTCATGAGGATAAGATGTGTTTTCTCCCTTTTAGATCAGTATAATGTCCTCCAAGTGATGCATTTACTTTGCTTGATTGGAATTACTGCCTACTAAAGTGCACTTATTATTTTCTCATTATATTACATTCGTTACTATTCCTAATTTTACGGCCTCAGTTATTTGATTGCATTTTTGCATCAGCAAAATCTTCACATAATGCTCCTTCAAGCAACTAGATTTTGCTGATTACAGCTTTAAAAATACATATAGTACTGCACTGCTGTGTTAACTGTGTTTAGTTTGTGTGAGAAAATGGAAAAGTATGCATGCCAAGGATTGAGAATCCATTGTCTGTCCAGCTATCACAGCCGCTCTGATTGCATTGGAAATTTGTCAACTCCTTTTGCCCCCTCCTCATGAAAATCAGTGTTAAATCTCTTGGTTTTCATGCTGCTTGTGCTGCCTCAGCCTCTCCACGTTTGTGTGAATGACTGTGTAATCTTGTTGTTGTAAAACAGTGATTCACCTCAGCGTCTGTAGCATTCATGATGTCGTTTTCCTTGTGCGACCATCTATTTATTCCTTGTTTGTATCATGCATACACACAGAAAGACACACTCATGGTGCCCCCTCTGGTTATCCAGTACATCATTAACCCCAGTCTCTCTCCTTAGTGCTTGAAGCCAGTGATTAGCATCACCTGCCTGACTAGATGGTATGGCCGAGGTCTGTAGTAATGATGTACAACGCGAAATTTAAGTAGGTCAGATCAAATGCATGTGCCTACTTGCCAAAGCTGGATAAACTGGGATAGTTTTGATTCATGCAACTGTATTCCCCCCCAGCAGAAATAGCAACGAAAGGCTACTCTTCCATGGAACCTTGGGGGGTTGGGTTTCACCTGACTGCCCTGAGGGATGGGTTCAGGCTTCGGGTTCAGAGAGGGTGCAAAAGAAAAAGGGAGATACCATGCTTCACAGGACTCCAAAACAGTCCCTAAACAGTAAGCATGATCTGTTTGGAGAAGCAATTACTAGAAAGAGAATCATGAAGGGTATGCAGAAGAGCAGGAGCAAGCCAAATGTTTGGTTCCAAAAAAGCTGAAAATCAAATCTGCACTTCACAAAGCTCCTGAAGCTTTCAGTTTGAAATGGCACGGAGCTGAGGCCAGTAAGGCAGTCGCAGGGTCCCTCAGCAATAAATCCCTTCTTTCTGCCTTTTTTGCCTCCTCTCATTCATATCCCATGGGTCATTTTGCTGGGACTTAATGGCATCCCAGCTGTGAACATGGGCCGAGTGCACTCTGCTGGAACGACCCAGGTCCCTGGGGCGTTTACCCAAGTGTCAGAGTGGAGCAGGCAGCATCATCGATGAAGACTGTGAGTCGGACTGCTCCACTGATCAGTGGTGATAAGGGCATTGCCTTGTAGTGATGCCATTTTAGCTTCAGTCCTCATTCAACCCTTCAAAGTGGTATAAATTCATTATACAAAGTGCTGCGTTATACTGTGCAGTTTTTTAACTGTATCAAAGACAAAACATTACAGGAATCATTTGTGGCAGCTTCACAATGAAGTTTCTGAAAGTAATCTGTGTTCTGCCCCTTTTATATTTGTAAAGATGTACTCTGCCTGTTAAAAGATATGTAGGTAATAGACTAAAACCATTTCTCTTGTTGTTCAGCTGTGAGAGCAGGCCCCTGCTACTGACTAGGATTTGACCCTTATGGTGGAGTTTCCTTCTTGTCACTCTAAGTGACCAGACACCCATTTAACCCCTATCACGTTAAAGGAATGTCACTGTCTGTTCAGGCTGCATACACACACACATAGTGTACATCAGTGCACATTGTGCCTGGAGATTTTCTCCACCAACGCACAGCTGTCTGCCACCTGCTGTGGAGCAGCCATACTTGCGAAAGACACTTCAATTGCTTAGCGTGCATTTAGCACCACTCCAAGCTTGTGGAATCCCACTTTAACATGACTTAGTCCTGCTTAGCAGATTCACTCTAACATTTGGCAATGTCTTTTGTTTCTGTGTTTTAAATATAGTCACTACTTTTGTATGAAAAATGGATTTTTAATAGGCACTCGGCATAATGCATGAACTACACATTGATTTTTTGTGAGTTTGTATATCTTGACATACATTTTTCTCTTTCCAGAGTGTTCACCGAGAGGTAAGAGGTCAGATTGGCTGGGTAAAACATTCTCTTATACATGGACCTCCAACATTTGGAAAGATTTTAAGTGAGAAATCTCTGTTCAGAGTCTTTCTGATGAACTGAAGTTGAAGTTTGCAGACCTTTACATCATACACCTGAATTACACCTCCCACAATCCTTTTCCTGTGATGACAAAGACACACCCACAAAGCAGCCTGCACACACTATTGATTTTTGTATCCAAGAGCAATCAGAGGTTTATTTGTCAGAACCTTTTCATATCACCTCATGTTTAAGAACCGAAACAGCTTTTCAGTGGCCAGTTATCAAAAATATTATCTTTAAAAGTGCCATGGTTTGTACGTATTCTAGAAGGCTTTGTAAGAGGCCATTACAGCATTGCTGGCTGTTTATCTCACTGTCCAATCTGTGCTGTCATCCTCCCACTGGCTTTCATCATACCAATGATGGGACTTGGGGGAGTGTAAATGACTCATGCAATGCCCTCTGGGTCATTTCTGCCTCAGGCTATTACTGTTATGGTTCTTCCTTTATCCTGTATAGTCCTGTGTGTGTGTGTGTGTGTGTGTGTGTGTGTGTGTTTTGTCTCTACACTATTTGAGCAGAGATTGTCCGGTGCAGTTTTTTTTTTGATCTACAGTTAATAGAGAGGGTTTGTGGGAAGCTTGTCGAGACTTACCCAAGAAAAACCGAAGCCGTCATTGCTGCTAAAATCAATTATTATTTGCAGGCCTAATTGGATGTACTTCATAAACTGGCAGCTTTGCATTTGATTAAGCTCATACTGGGTACACATGAGAGTATCTGTGAGTAACAGATGGCTGAAAAGTTTCTTTGAAAAATGTTTGTTCTTGAGCAAACTTTGCTGGGTTCGCTTTAGTCAGTTAGGAATCCTTTGGGGCAGAGCGTGTGGCTGATTTATGTTGTCACTGTATTCAACAATAAGATTCTCAGGTTTGCTCACTATTCTGTCTAAATCGTAGTATTATGCAACATGTCAGCCTCAGGGCAAAGTCACTTACCATGAGAAACTGGGCCATGCACTGAGTAATGGAGAGTCCGTCTGAGGCAGCCATGTGGATGAGGTCACTCTGTCTTTGTCTTTCCTTTACTAACAAAGTCATGCACAAACACATATTTTGTCATGCAGCCATTCTTTGCCTCCATTGCACCTCCCTTTATCCTCTATCTCATCTACACCCTGCTGTCTCACTGTTTTCATCACCTACATATTCTGTCACACTCTCCTGCTATTTCTCTTTTGTCTCCCCCTCTTCTCCCTTCAGATCTGGGGGGAGGGTTTGCCTTTCTGCTCAGCTAGATCTTCATTCTTTGTGTTTCCTGTGTCATTGCCTCCAGGCTCATGCTCACCCCACCCCCTGTCTACAGGGACAATTGAGAGGAAACAAAGCAGAGAAGACAGTGCAGTGGACCTCTCGAGAGTCAGTAAAAACAATGGTGTTAACACATCGAGTCTTCTTTTATGGCAAACTACTCAGACCTCATTTAGGTAGCAGTTAAGTGGTGAGAGTGGTCGGTTTGATTTGACCAAGGAACGACTGTGTGCACACTTTGGTCTGTAAAATACAAAGAGTGTTTTTAAACTTAATGGAAGGTTGGAGCACTTGGGAAGTGATGGTTCCAGGTGGAGGCTGTGGTGTGTGCGTCTTTGTTCGTACTGTATAATCTCTGTGTGTGTCCATCGACTGAATGGGTGCTACATAATTCAGAAGCCATTATTTTTGCAGCCTACTATTAAGAAAGGACAGTAGAGAGTAAGAGTGAAAGACAGGAAGAAAGTGCAGAGTGTTGTCTTGCCCATAACTGCTTTTAAAGCAGTTTTGGGAAGTTTCTCTACAGATGATTACATTTTTAAAACGCATGCGTTTATTAAATTATACAGTGGGTTTTGAGAGGACCAAGCACCATGTAAATTACTATTAAAACATACACAGTTTATTCTCTTGATGATCCATGTGAATTTCAACTGTCCAACATTTCCTTACTGGACCTTCCACCACATTCCCCTCCGTTCTCTGCATTGCCTGGCTGCAGAGGAAACACAAGACAGAGGTGTAGCAATTTAAAAAGACCTGTCACATGATGTTTAATTCAAATAGGCTTTGATAATTCGCCTTTTCACTCGTCCTCCCTCCCTATTGCAAAGGCACCAACTAACCTGCATGTTACCATGACGATAAGAACAGCCGGGTGGCCCAGTGTTTATGCGTTCAGCACGGGTCTCCCCCCATTTCTCTTCAGTCGAACAATCCGAGGCTGTCTCCCACCCATCCCCCCCAGAGACATAACATTCACCTGCGTCCCACAGCTCCATCTCATTTACTGTGTCACCTCAGGTTACACCCAACGCTATGGCTTGGCTTTATGCCAACGCTAATCGCTCAAAACTCCACCCCATCTCCAGGTTAGACGAAGATCTCTTTGTCTCACCTTAGTGCGCACTGCCATCCATTAACACAGTCACAGTCCCCTCTTTTCACCAGCAGCACTAAATTTCTATGCCTATTTTATGGGCCACTGGAGAATATGGCAAAGTTCAGGGGAATGAGCTTCTAACTCAACCTTGCCCATCTTTCCCTTGACACTCAGCAGTTTTTTCCCCCAGCAGATGTGTGGCCTACTACGTGAAAATCATGTAGCCGTGAAATGGGACAAGATGAGGCACTGTACCCCAGCAGGGGAACCGGGGACAGGAGCAAAAGTAGAAAGAAATATTGTTTTAGGGGAAGGCGGTAAATGATAAAAGCAAAGATTTATGGTGCACAACATGCAAAATGAGTGAACACATAATGATATTTACATAGATCTCACACTTGTATCTTTGATCTTTTATTAGCAGACCTGACAGGATAAGGACTGTGCCAAATGATGCAAACATCTGTTTTGAGGCGTTTGGAGGATTTCTCTATTTCCAGTTTACCTGACTTTTAGAGCAATCACTAATTCTGCAGATTCTTCCATTTCAGATATTAATCCCACGTCTTGACTTGGGGGACTCACGACATCACAGCATGAGAACAGATGGCTGGGCTCCAAAAAGATTTCAGGCAAACTAAAAAGGAAGGGAAAAAAGGTGGTGGGGGAGCTTGAATAAAGCCATCTGCTCGCGGATGGATGCAGAATTCATTTGAGGCCGTTGCTGCTATTTTTATCGCGACACTGCAACACTCTGTCTCTCGTAGAAGGTGGGATGGGGGCTAAAGGAGGAATGAGAGGGAGAGAGATAGATCCAGAGATGCATGAGGAGGTGTCTGGAGACAGAGGACACTGGGAAGGAGGATGACAGGTTCCCAGAGTAGTCTTGTTTCTAGGGCTGGTGCAAACATAACCAGGTTTTATGTGTCTTATTACTGCACTAATCACATTCACGTTTCATGTTAGCTTGAAATTGTTTGTTTGGAGTCACAGAACATCATCCTGACATGGTGGTGCTCTGAATAGGGAGCCACTAGTTGAATGGAAGCACATCCAGCAGACACAGCAGCATTACTGTTGACTTGGACTCGTATTTCTGGCCTCCTGACTGATGGAAGCCCAGTGATCACTCTCCTTTTAGCTCTGTTTTGGTTTGTCACCAGTTCCCTGTGAAAAGTTTCTGGCTCTTTAGCTGTTAAGTGTAAAAAAAAAAAAACTTTTTACATGTTTATCGAAGCGTTTTGTTGTGTTTTATTCTTCTGTGAATCCTTATGTCTTAATTACAGTTTGGAGGTACTTTAAGTAGTTGAACTTTATGCCACTTTAGGCCAGCTTTAACATTAAAATCTTCCTCACAGGGTTAGGGTTATGCATCAGTAGTAATAATCTGACATTATAATATATAACATTGCACTCACACACACTGGGCCATTCTACATGACAGAAAATTTACTTTGAATTTCGAATACAGGACTTTATTCTGTAATGGACTGGAACTGGTGTTTTGGCTTAAGTGAAGGGCCTTAATCCTCCTCCCACTACCATGTACATGTTACACGCCTTGCCTTAATAGGCCAGTCTTCCCTAAACTAAAGTTACATATTACTTTTCTTGTTTTTTCTCTGTGTTTATTGGTGTGAGTCATGACCCACCGTTGCTCATGGTAAGAGATCTGATACTGCTCTCTGTTTCTGATTCAGGCGCATCATGTCATTTTCTCCCCCTGTAGTCTCTCATATTCCTGGCCTGTGTGGCTGCTGCAGGGCTCGGCCTCAACCTGCTGTGTCTGGCCATATAATCCTCTGTGTTTATTGCCATGAGTCATAGATGACCCACCGTTGCTCATGGTAAGAGATCTGATACTGCTCTCTGTTTCTGATTCAGGCGCATCATGTCATTTTCTCCCCCTGTAGTCTCTCATATTCCTGGCCTGTGTGGCTGCTGCAGGGCTCGGCCTCAACCTGCTGTGTCTGGCCATATACCTGAGTTGTTTGTGCTGCTGCCACAAAGATGAAGAGGAGGGGAGCAAGAAGCCCAACTCCTGCTGCGTCACCTGGTCCGCTGTTGCTGCCGGCCTCCTCACATGGTGAGAGAATCGAGATGCAGAGAAGCGGTTATAACTAACTGCTGATTGTAGTGCACACTCACTCTCTGCTGTTGTCTGCTATTCTGTGTGTTTCCCCATGTTTTTTATTGGTAATTTTGTATTCCTAACAGGGAGCTGTAGTAGCATGTTGTCACTGCACAGATCCTCTGGGTCTCTGTCCGTCTCTCTGTATTCCCACATGACATCCATACTTATTAGCTTACAGTTTCCATACTGTATGTCTGCCTGTCTTTGTTTCTCCATTTCTATTCTCAATGTGTCTCAGGGTCTCTCGTTCCAGTCTTCATGCCTGTCAGTCCACCTCTGTTTTGAAATACTCTAAGCTTCTTTAGTTTTGATGAGATCAGCCCTTGGCCCTTCTCTTGTGTGGTTGAAATCTTTCTGATAACCTTTACCCTTTCTGCATTTTTGTGGGATTTTTGGTTTAAAAATCAGACATAAAATTAACAAAAGAGTGAAAGTTTTGATATTTGTACAACATCCATCTGGACATGCACTTTTCAGAATGTCTCCTGAAAAGCTGCTGCCTCTGGTTTGAGGGGATTTTGGCACAGTGAAGTTACAATTATGTACAGCAGCTCTGAGTTTACACCGGCGTTAATGAAATATCCTGTTGATGCTCTGACTGCCGAACACTACACAGTCACTGTGGGAGAAGCCATCCTGATGTGGGTGTATTGTGAACATGCAGGTGTGATTGTGAATTACTGCCTATTACAGCCAACTGGCAATCAATCACCCTGATACCTTGAACCTCTAGATAGGGCGCTCCAACTGAGGCCACAAAATAAAATTTCAGAATGTAGGAGAACAGCTTACTGAACAAAAGCTACTACGCACATATCAAACAATGTTATGCAGCCATCTGTTTATTGAGTAGCTTACTACTGTATTGTACTAACACATATAAAGAAACATCCTGTGTTACTATAACAATACATTCAAAGACATGAAATGAAACATGACAGGAATATTACAGGTTCTGAAACAAAGAATAGCTCAGAAATAATATTGGGTTTTCTGCTTGTAAATAACATTTCTTCCAGCTTAATGCTTGTATGAACTAGCAGACAAAAGTTCATCAAGCGTAGCCTATTTATTTTGCTTGTGTAAAAACCCCTGTGTGCTTCGCTACATGGATAATGCAAACTCTAATGGGATGCAGGTTTACTAATGGTGAATAAAATGACATTTTACAGTCGTCCCAATAGCACTCATTTTGTGTCAACATCACAGGGCATGACAAATAATAATCTGTTATGAATTTCAAGCTTAATTATGATGTCACATGTACAAGGAAATTTAATTGGTTCAGTGAACCTCCCATGAATGATTAGAATGAGAAGAAGAAGAAAAATGTTTCATGTTTTTAAGATTATATCTGACTCAGTGTTTGCGCTCAGATCGAGAGCAGTGGAGATGGGGTTTGTTTTGGCTGGAGGCTGCCAGATCTCATCAAGTCTATAGAAACTTTCTTGATGTAAAGTGACATTTTGTTTAGCTGCAGTAAAGATTAATGATATTTGAATTATAGCCCAGAGCAGTTAACAATTTTTACTTGTATCCAACTTTTCATTTTAATGTTCTGCTGCTGTGTCAGACTTACAAATGGACTTGTGACACTGCTGACAACCATGAACCATTACAACCTTTAAATTCTAGGAGCAAAGATTCACTTACCTACTGTTACTAAAACACATGGACCGATGCACTTCAAGTTGGTCAGTGTTCTCTAGCCACAAACCAGCTAATTGAATTTGTCTCCAGATGAGTGGGTACTTTTCTCAGCCATGTGATACTGATGTTTAGCATCAGTAATATTAGATTAAGCTGAGGGAATCTGTCTTTTTTCAGAGAAGGGTTATTGTTAAAAGGAAACATATTGTTGTGTCACTGCAGTGTTAAAACTCCTGGAGGCTCCGCTCTGCAAGCTGAAACTTGTGTCCCGTGCTATTTGATTTATCCGCTTTATCATCCACTTTGTCATATGTTTGTATCACTTTCCACATCTACTGAATGCAGTTTAATAAAGGGAAAATGAAAAACAAAACACAATAAATGCTTTTCCAACAATGTCCTATTGAACAGATGAGGGAGAGGTTTGCCCAGTCAGTTCAAAATTAAATGCCTGCTGTTAAAAACAAGATGACAAATAGTCTTTATTTCAGATTAGCTCTGAAAAATGACACTAAAATGCCCATCATACAACACTTAACAGTAAAGCTTGGAGTTGCAGTTTCCTTCTGTGAAGTCAAAGGTTGCAAATGGCTTATGTCCCAACAAGTCAACCAGTCTTCATTATGCAATATTTAATTATTTCTTTGCAGTTTCTTAAAATGTACACAGCTCCTCTCATATTAAAGATGTATGTTGCAAAATTGGAACAGGACAAGTACAATTACAGCTGCAAACAGCAGCTGGCTGATCACCAGGGCAATAGGAAACATGGGATATGCTGTGTAATACCACACTGTCTAGTGTATTCACTAGGTCTTGTAGCATTTTGACTTGACAGACTGGCTTAGTGTTGTTGGATGCTGTCAGAAGCTCTTATAAATTGATTGCCTGGGTAGTGGATTCAATTTAAACCTATATAAAAATATGTCACAGCCTTATGCGTTTGTGGTGTGTAAGAGCCCACTACTTTCCCTCATTAAGAACAAGAAGCACTTCATGCTTGGACCCTAAAAATGAATGGCCATTTACTTAGTGCCACTCAATCTCTGCAAGTCAATTTTATGCAGTCACTAGTATGTTAAAAGGCACAGTACTATTTAAAAATCCACACCAAATCTGTTGCCAATGTGTGGGTTTAATATGATGTGTGCTCTTTAATGCTGCTGATATCTGCTTGTTTTTATGTGTATTTTAATTTACACATAGAAAAGAGCAAATTAAAATGTAATAAATGGAAAAAGACCAGAAATAAACCATAATGTACTCAATGCATATGAATTAAATATCCAGTGAGGCGTCCACCGAAGAGACAAAAGAAAAATTAATTGGCACTAAATTTGGATGGAAACTTATTGTGAATTGACTGAATAAGCAGCAGGCGCACGCTTTCCTCCATCTCTTTCATTTTGTGAAGGTTTTGACGCCATACTAGTGTAGCTACTGTATGTGCATATACCCAGCTGAGAGGTTTAAGTCTGGTCTCAGCTTGTTGATGATTTAGCGACAGAGTTTGGCTTTAGACAACCCCCACACATTACACCCTCGGTCGTATCCATCTGTCTGTGCTACAGCTCTGGAGCAAAGTGGAAACCTCTGACATGTTAGACATTGTAAAAACAACCAATACAACAAATTTGTTGTGAATATCTCAAAACATTGGGCTTCACCTTTTCCCCCATTTCTAATAGTAATCCCATTGTGGTGACCTGTTTCATTGGGGAGTAGATTTAAAGAGCTGAAAGACTTAATATCATAAAATGATAGAGATGTGAGGAAACTTTTATTTCTATGACTCTACTGGCTATGCCAGAGGATGGATGTGATTGCCCAGTGGTTTTTGCATTAGATTTGCACTGAGAAGTGTAATCTCAGCAGTCCAGGTCCTTCCCCTCTTTTCGCCCCATTTCTTCCCTTTCATTTTCACTCCGCACTCGGCCGTGTTCATTCTCCACCCCTTTCCCTTATGTTTCTGCTTAAAGTCTTGTCGTCCTCCACTCTAATTATGTTTGACAGTGGCTGGAGCTGATACGCCGTGATGTCCATTCTAATTAACACTGGTGAAGCCAGAGCAGATGTCACTCAGCTGTGGTTGCAGCCCCGCCCACGATGTAGCACATGAACTGTGTAATTATACTGTACCACGCTCAAACAGAGGACATCTGGGCCTATGATAGTTTACTGTTATAAAGTTACCAGTTTGTATTTTGATAACTTGGGACTGATTGTTTTCAAGAGAGATGTCTGTCTCTTCTTGATATAACGTATGTTGTTCACAGCAAAAGACTGTGGGACGGACATTCGTTTCACTTCATTTTAATTTGAAATACTTTATTCATCCCACAGAGGCAATTTGAGGCAAGTATGTTTGCAAACACAAAACCCACAAACAATTCATTCTCACACATAAAATGATAATATCTATCACCAACAAAAATGTACCAGCAGTGGTGTTTTGAAGCTCTCATTTACTTTTTTGGGGTCATCTGTTTTTATTAACACACAGCTGACAAACTAACTTTTACTATTACAGTTGAGGCCTTAGAGTTGTGGAAGTTTGTAGCTCTGAAAACAGAAATGTTTGCATGCAAATTTCAGAAAGAGGCTGTTTGTGTTATATTAGAGGCCTGCTGCACATTACAAGGATTTCTGGAGTGGCTGTTGAGAGGCTGAGATTTGAGGAGGGCAGAGTAAAATATGAAATCATCTGTCTAAATTTGTCTTCTCAAGAGAATCACTGCTGCCATATTGGGGCAAAATGTCAAATTTTCAAACATGCCTGAGTAGCCATAGGTCATTTCCTGATGCAGGCTGAATTCCCTTCACTGTCTTTTATCCATTTTGTCATTTATCAACATGACAGGCTGGATCTCTGCTCAGTGCATGTCTACTCAAATCCATGATATTCTCTTCCTTTGAATCAGACCATCGATATTTCAAAGAATGGCACTGAGGGACTGAAAGAGGGGTAGCAAAACAGTGGTATTCCCTCTCCTCACATGTCTCTCTGTCCTCCCAGTTACCTCATTATAATTAGATTCTAGTCTTATAATAAATGCATAGTTCAAAGAAGTCCATGTTTCTCCCAGCTAGTTTTACCCAGTACGTTTTTCTGCTTTTGTGGCATTAGAGGATGAAAGATTAGCAGCTTTTTTTGTACGTGATGCTCTTCAGTAGACAACAACAAAAATCGGTCCAACAAATTAAATATACCAGTGTACAGTATGGCCACAGAAAGCAAGGACAGAAGCAAATCTTTTCTTTTTCTGTGTCCTGCTGTTTGTCGCATTGTCTTGCCCTTTGCTTTTGTCATATTATTCATTGTAAACTGTTTTTCTCCCTGTCTGCCTGTATAAAGCAGACATTCCTTGCTTAAGCCACTGTCTGTCACTTCCTGTCTCTGTCCAAACTGATGGTTTTACTCATGTCCACTCTGTCAGTAATGTACCTCCTCCTTCCTTTCTCTATGTCTCACACTGAGTTATGTTAAAACCTGCCGAGTGGGAGGTTTATCTGCAGGTGTTCTGTTAATGAGTCTCATTCCTTGTTGCACTAATTAGGAAAATAGCCCCTGTCGCTGCTCTCCATCTGCACAGCATCGACCGCCACACTGCTGCACAACTAGCTCTGCCTAGACTTTAGTGATTCCAGGTGAGCATTGCAGGAAGCATCGTTGCCCATGGATCCATAGTCTCTTTTTTCCTTAATGTGTGTCTGGGAGCATCTGGAAGGAGTCTGCAAGGTTAAGGAGACTGCTCTAAGACTCAATTAGGCTGACTCCTGCATACCTTCCCTTTGGTACTGACCGAACCTGCCTGTGGCCTTTATCTCAGGCACATTTTGTGATGGGATACAGTGGTGATTTACTGCAGTGATTCCCAACCAGGGCTCATTGTCCCCCATGAGGCACTTATGTAGTTACACGAATATGGAGTATCTCAGTTAATTTGTAAAAATATAAATCACAGTTTGAATTAACTTTCAACATATCAAATCAGCTGTAAACCTGAACACCATGTGAGTCTAGTCCTCCTAACGATGTGGTGTCTTTCTAACATCACTGTCTTTGCAGGAGACTTTTGTGGCTTCAGAGTAACGTATGTTGTGGAACAATATGTCTCTACATGACATCTACTTGTTAGGTTTATGTAGAGAAAGACCGTGGAGCTACTTTCAAACCCCATATGGCAACACAACACCATACGGCAGCAGAGCAACTACTTACGTCGGTGGTTATTGTGCTTGTGCTGACGCTCCAGATGGATGCATGAAATCCTTGGGTGACTCAATATGCAATTCACTTTTCAAATTTTGCACACACATTCCAAAAGAGTGTTGTTTACATAAATTAACACAAAATTCAAGCAGTTTCTTGCTGACGCAAGTTTCTATATTTACAGCAGCACAACATTTAATGCAAGATGGATTTAATAGTGACACACTGAATGAATCTGATATAATCTCTCCAACAACTTCAATTGTGTGTGAAGTCTCCAAGATGCTCCCTCAAGACACACATATCAACTCCTTTCTAATGTCGGTCACGCTGTTTGGATGCCTGTTTACCCAGACGGTTAACCGCTATGGACAAAATATGCCCGATAACATTTCTATCTGCTTTTATGGATCATCCCAAAGTGCTTCAGCGCCATTGTATTTTTACTGTTTTGTTCAAAATGAAACTGCTTTATGATAATGCTCAAATGCCAGGGTAAGAATGGAGGCATAAAATATTCATTAAATGTTGCATAGGTGCTGTTTTCAGTGGCACCACACTCCAGTGAGTAGCAGGTTTCCACTGCAGGATCGCACTGCGTTTTAGAACCTTAAAACCTTATTTTCAGATGGTTGCGCATTCATCTTTTAATTCAGGAGTTGTAATAATGTTTTGGAAGCTGACAAACTTTGAATCTAGTGACTGAAAAGGGCATCACCAAGCAGTGCTGCTGTGTGCTCCTCTCATTAAGTCTCACCTGTCCCTTCATGCCGCCTCTCTCTGCAGCGTCGCAGTGGGTGTGGGTTTCTATGGCAACAGTGAGACCAATGACGGCGTGTACCAGCTGACCTACTCCCTGTACAACGCCAATCACACGCTGGGCGGCGTGGACAGTCTGGTAGGTAAAACACAGGCCTCCTCGCATGATGAATATGTCCTGCTCGTCAACACACATACAGTGCACCTCATAATGTGAATTAAGTAGCATCATGTTTAGAAGAGAAGCCCAAACAGCGCTGAGTCAAGGCTTCAGAAGTGCACACGCAAGTGAGGAGGAAAGCCCAGAGGACTCAGTTTAGTATGCCTTTAAATGTTTTATGGTCTTTTTATGGCTTTTCACCACTACACACAAATTGACAGCCTATCCAAACAAAAACTGTTTCCTCTCAGTCTGACAACGCACACGCACATGCTCACCCGCCGCGATCTACCTTCTCCCAACCTGGGGCCTCAGCAGAAACAAAGAATCATCCTTGTCTTTCCTGGGTTCACTGTAACTCAGTACATTTACAGCATCATTATCTATTTTTATCTGCTTAATTTCCCATCACAGAGAGACCCACTGTCCCAAATGTCACACTAATGACAAAGCAATTCTCTCCTTTTAGTCAAGAGCCAAACTCAGAGAAGTTAAGACACTTGGATAGTTTTCCCACTAGTATTTTTGAGAAAGATGTGTTTGAAGTAATAATAAAGTTAATTATCTGTCAACACTGTAGGTGGAAGTACTTGGCAATTTGGCTTGGTAATCCACAATACTCTGCAGTCACATGAGCTGTACAATTAAGACTTCCATCACAAAAATTATCATCTGAGATTTGACTCTCCAAAACACTATTAACACAGCTGTGAAAGCCAAATATTCTGGAGACGTGTAATTTTATCATTCAGTGACGACCTGACAAACTCGCAGTGGACTTAAAATTATGAAGACTTGTCATTTGACTCTGACTTGTGCTTTGATAAAAGTCTGAAAACTCTTAACTCAAGTCTTAAATGACTTCAGACTTCCTATGACAGAAGTGAGACCTATGCAGAGACCTACCTTGAGTCCTGTCTTGTGGGGGTTGACTTGAGACTTGTTTAGATTGAACTTCAGATTTGCATAGATTAACTTCATACTTGCCTGATGCTTCCGTACTTGACTTGAGACTAACACTATAATATGTCCTATTCCATAATGTAGCGTTAGGGGCAGAGAAACACCCCCAGAATGCCTTAGAGGGGACGCACCTGATGGGATCCCCCATAATGCCTCTCTGGGCAGGATGTATTTAGGTCGGGGTTGGCAGGGATTGTTCAGTCTTCTGGTTGTTGGTGTGGTTGCCTGCATGTGTGTATGTGTGAAAATAAAAGAGAAAAGGACCGTTTCTGTTTCCGGCTCCCTCCTCACCTAGCCTACGTTACAGTGATATAGATTGGTGAATGTAATGTTTGTAAACACTAGCTGTGCAAGCAGAATGTGTGACTGACTTGTTGTCGAAGAGTAGGGATTAGGCCTCCATCTGTGTTAATGGAGATTAATGTGGTGCTATGTGAGCCACTCAGCACAGAGCCTTAACATGGCCATGCTGACAGTGTAATAAACACTTTGCTGAAGGGTACAGAGCCCAAAGCACACTCGGGGAAGCACCACTCTGTGGCATGTCAGGATGTCTGACTTTAATGATCTCAGATTTTAATGGAGAGCAGTACTTCGCTGTCTGACTCTGGTTCATGCGCTTTGTAAATAATTTAACCTAGATACATGTAAGGACCCAAAGACTACCAATGCTGGAGAATCAGTTGAGCTTCTGCAGATTGTCAGCAGGCATAAGTTCTTACATGATGTGCTTTAGCCCATAAACATGTTAGTTCTTTTGATTTACTTCAGTGCAATTGCAAGTTAGATTCACTTAAAGCAAAGAGGCTGATAGAGTTCTCTGTCATTTCTGTATGAACTAGTGTTCACTGATTGGCTGCTATTGATCCTATGAAACACTTAACCACCTTCATTTCTCAGTCATTTTAGCAAGAGGAGACAAATCACGAACATACTGCTCAGCTTGTCAGTGTACTCCTGTGGGAACATGTGCAAACGCATAATTGGACACGGTGGCATTTATTTTAGCATCTTGCATGTATGAATGTGTGTGTGTGTGTGAGTGAGTTCACTGCATGCAGGCTATAGACTGTTAAGGAGTCTAGTTCTCGAGCAGGACAAAGAGCCCAGTGTGCCACACACAGCTCCTAGTCGCCCCCCACCTAATCAACCATGAGCCCAGGAGACAAAGCCTTTTGATGGGGAAGAACAAGGAGCAATGCTAGCCTGTCTGATTGGCAGGCTCAGGATTGAAATCGGTATTGAAATCATTGACAATGAAGGCCTCACTGCCCTTTGGCCCACACAGATGCCTTTTAGCCCAACTCTAAACAAGTTTAGAAAGCCTCAGTGAGTGAGAGCAAAGAAAGGAAGTTAGACATGTTATCAGCAGGAGCTTTTTTTTCTCAGCTACTGCTGAGACCCTGATTAGTTACGGTCTGGAATATATGCTTATGATGTGTTTATGAGCACACACACACACACAGAAATACATGCTGTCTATTAATTGCACTGAGAAAGGTGCAATCCAGAGGCATTATTTTCAAACAGACTTGCAAAACAACACCAGCAGGGCTGTTAAAGCCTGAACACAGCCAGCCAGGATGCTGTATTTGTGCTGTAATGAGAGTGACGTGACATTTATAGCATTTAGCTGCACTAATAATAACTTTATTGTTGGGAGATGGGTGTTGCCAGAGGCTTTGGCAGCCAGCAGTCATTCCGTAGACGGGGTCAGTGCCTCGGTCAGTCCCTGCACATTTGGCCAGACCTCAACAGACGGTTTGGAATTTGGCCCATTACAAGATTACAAACTTTCATGTTTCCACACCGTTCTCATAATAAGATTTTTGTAATGTAAGAAATGGATTAGAATTTTTTGATCACATTTCTGGGGAGAAGTGAAAAGTTAATTGGTGTAGAGATGTAAAGTACAGTGCACATGTCTTTGGATTAATTCTTTTAGCCATGTTTATTTTTCAGAATACATCTAGAAAATATAGGAAATATATACACAGCATTAAAAAACAAATGTCAGGAAAAAAGAAATCAGCAAACAAAGGGGATACTCAGGATGTGATATTCAGGCTGTTCTAAATAAATATGAAGAATCGCGAGAGGTCAAGGACAAAACCAGGAGTGGAAAACCAAGAAAATGGTCACAACCTGATGAGACCTTCTTTGAGAGACCGGAGGGAATCCAGCAAAGACCTGGCTCAGCATCTGGCAGCTTCATCTGGATGCCAAGTTGATCCTTCCACAGTCCAAAGGAGCTCGATCAGGAACGGCCTTTGTGGAAGGACAGCGGCCAAGAAACCACTTTTTCTGAAGGGAACAGGGAAAAAAGGGTGAGACGTGCAAAAGCTCACGAAGCCTGGAGTGAAGATCAGTGGAAAAGAAGATTATGGAGCGACGGAGGAAGTTTGAAATGTTCAGGTCCAGTTATTGACAGTATGTGAGAAGAAGAGTTGGAGAGAGGTGGAAGAACGAGTGCTCGCAGGCTTCAGTGAAACATGATGGAGGGTCTGTCACGGTGTCAAGACTTCAAGACAGTCTCCCAAAAAGAATTCAAGCTGTGCTAAGTGCAAAGGGAGGTCACGCTAAATACTGACTTGGACTGTCGAAGCCATGTTGTGTGTTTTTAATATTGTGTACATATTTGCTGTATTTTCTAGTTATATCTTAATAAAGACACAGAGAAATATATACAGTACAAACAGGAAACATATTTCAAGTCCACGTGGATAGTCCCACTTGCTTAGGGTGGAGTCCAGATTCCCTTCCTGTGAGTCAACTGTTTATTACAGTCTGACCTTGTTGGACCCTGGATCTGTTTTTTTGCCGACTTCCTTCCTCCTTGCATGACTGGATAAGGGAGCCTTGAAGAGTTGAAAGGAAACCTTTCAGGACTAGATGCCATCTCTGTGACCATCTCATCTGTGTGAACTCTTGCTTTTTTAGTGTCACTAGCTCACTTCCTTCATTTGCGCAACAGTCCTTACTGGGCTGTCGGTTTTCCAAAGCCTTGATTTAATGTCTGCTCAGTGTTTCATCAGCAAACTCATAAGTGCCTATAAATCCCTCTGAAGGACAGCCTCTCGAGAGCCCTGTAGTGGGCAACTATCTGAGAGGGAAAAGGAGGGAAGAAGGAATATATTTTTAAAGAGATGTTGTGCTGAGGTTCGTTACCCAGCAGTGAAGATGCTCTCCATCTTTGGGGTGACTGAGCTACCGAGGCACTTCAGACCCATGTTCCATTTCACGCTCTAGCTCCCACATTTAATTTTAATTGAAAAACATCTCTCCACTATCAAACAGAAACAGTGAGTTAGAGTATGAAAAAAGGTTTATTCCTACATCTTAACAGTTTTTTTTTACTTTTACCAATGCACTTATTGGACCTGAATGAAGCAATTACTGGACACAATAGTGGAAATGACTCATGGATGCTTGCTCAGCTAAAATGAGCACAAATTATGTGATAGACTGAGGAGTCAGTGGCAGCCATGGTGCGAGAGGTGTGTAGAATCGACCATTTACAAGCTGTAACTTCCAATTTAGGCCTTTGTGGTGAGCAGAAGAACAGATTCATGTAATCTCATATTAATCTGGCTCCATCTTTAGTGTGTGATTCACAGCTCTCAAAAATCAACATCCAAACACAGTTTGGTGATTAATTTTCTGTGTCAGTTCAGGGATGGGCTTTCTCTGCAAGGTTTGGATAAATAAGTTACAATGTTTTTTTTTCAGCCTCTCTCTGTTTTGTGCTCTCAGTCATCTGTGAAGCATCACTTCCTCTGAGACCGGGTACCAGTCCCAGCAGACTTAAAGCTAGTGATCCAGTGCTAGCGTAGGAAGTGGGATTTATATTGTCTACTGTAGAGTCAGAGAGGCAGCATTGTAATGGCGGAGGCGACACACACACACACACACACACACACACACACACCCGGGCACTTCAACAAAGAATCTCTTAGAGTTCACATCCTGTGATATGAACTCTAGGCTGAAAAATGATTTGACATGAATTATTATTAAGTAATAATAATAATAATACAGTTCCTTCCATGTTTAATGCAGATGAAATGTTATTATTTGATATTTGAGCCAGTGAGACAAGGACAAGGATGTGAGACTTTGTGACAACACCACCCCTACAAACACTGCTCAGGGGCTTCCAAAAGTACATGCTCATATGAACAAGAACCTTTACATAATGCCCAATGAGCTATATACTGTATTTTTCTTTCCTCAAGCTTGAATCTACATGTATTAATTGACAGAACATTTTGCTTTTCAGCCCCAGGCCACATGCCATTTGTGACAAAGTTTCTTATGGTGTTTGTTTGTTGTTTGCCTTGCAGCATGCGGAAATGAATATCCCTCTGTAAAACAACTTTACACCAAACACACTCCACTGCAAATTATTTGTTTAGAAAAGATGTGAGGCAGAGAATCTGACTGAGATAAAGACAGAGAAGACTGGGAATGGGAATCATATCTTCTTGATCGGTGTGGATCACTTACACAGTGAGGATCAGACCAAGACGACGGAGAGATTAACTGGATTGGCTGTCTCCCCAAGTGTTTTAGATAAGATTCCCACACAGGAGGACCAGATACATTTGTCATCTGCAATTTCATCTGCTCAGTCTGAGGAGGAAATGATGAGTGGTCAGATAGCAAACTGTAGAGCACCACAAGCTTGTGCCCATGACTCTCAATGGGAAGCTTTAGTTTTTTGTTTTTTTTTGTCATTTAGGATATGAAAACCTCTGTTTTCTATGCAATTATAAGAAATAACATGAAGAATTCAGATGGCATAATATTTAGTTATTCAAAAAATGAATGGAGCAATCTGTAAAAATTATTTTGTCATTTAAAATACATCATATACATATAATACATATAATTTAAATTTTATTGAAATATTATTCATTTCTGAGCACAATCTATATTTGATGAAACTTTTGATATTGTCCATTTTGCATTTGACTAACAGAATATAAAAACATAATTAAAATTACAGAGGGCAAAAACAAACCTAATCAAGAGCTACTAAAGCTGCTGAAGAGCTATCTAGCTAACAATCAAAATAATAATTTGACTTCCTCTTTTCTGTGGGCTATTT